TGCTTGACCGCGGGGTCAAGCCGACGGGTGCCATCTCTCTTAAGAACTCAACCTGTGGTGTATGATGTATGTTTTTTTTTTTTTTAAAAAAAATCTCACATAACAGAAAAGGAGAAAAAGGAAGTTATTTTTTTTTCTATGTATATATACAAATTTTTTAAGTGTGTATATAATGTGATGTATGCATAAGTATGTACAAGGAACCAGTCACACCACGCCCCCTTTATGAGAGAAAGAGAGAGGGAGAGAGACAAAAAGAATGGGGTGTCTGTGTAAGGAACCAAAGATCGTAATTCGGAAGAAATGAATACATGATATGATACTTGCTTGAGGGATTTTTGTTAAGAGTATGTAAATGTTAAAAAAATAAAAAAAAAGAAACCAAAGAGATATTTTGTTTTTTGGACATCAGGAAGCAGCCGGAGTTTTGTTTTCTTCAGTCGAATCATCTTTGAAATGAGAGAAGAAATCTGTGATTGGGAAGTGTTGTCAAGACAAGTTCAGTTAGTCAAGGACGATCCTGATGAAAAGGATCATGATTGGGGGGCTAGAGTCAGAGAACAGTTTTGAAGGAGACGCTTACGAAAGAAATCGACGGCGGAGGCGGACAAGCCATACTGGAAGATATATTTGAACGCGACGAAGCTAGAGAGACCCGAGGGAGCAGAAGCACGAAGCCGAACAACATGAGCGGGGTCCCAAAAAAAGGGGGCAAAACCAAGAAGAAGGACGGGACGAACCTAGCAAACAAGCTGCGCTGATAGGACTCGGGCAGCCGACCCATGAGCGTCTCCAAGCCGACCTTGTTGATCAACGTTTTCGGGATGGCCTGCTTCAGCACCGCTTTCCTGCCCGGCAGGTTTTCGAACAGATCCGATTCCTCCAACTGCGTCTGCAGCTTCATCAGGATCTTCCCTATCTCATCCGTGATCACCGCCCGCGGCTTCTGTCCGTTCATCGACTCTTTCCAGATGCATTGGAACTCAGCCGCCGCGTTCATCGTGATCGTGCGTTGGATATCTCGCACATAATTTGTATAACTACATTTAATGCAACAAATTCATTCTCAGTTTCCACTGCGTTTATTTGACACAATCGTTGGCTTACAATTCCGAGAACCCTGGTGAGTTTTGCGAAGTCATCAATTCGAGATACTCCTTATCGCTCAATCCAAGCCCCACCAAAACTTCCAAGGAAGAGGAGGTGACTCCTCCTTTGTTCGCAGAGGCATCTTTGAACAACACGACGCCTGTAAGAGAGCGAAGAATCAAATTCCATCAGAGACTTGAGTGATCAGAGTGTTAGTGATCTCCAAAAAAAATGTGCGGCAAACGAACCCTTTTTCTCGAGCACCAGACGGGCTTGCTGGGTAATGAACAAGTTTGCGCCCTGTGAAATGGAACAGCTTCAGACATGAGCACATACTTCCCTCAACCCTATGAGATGATACATGATATGCTGACCTCGACGATATACTTCACGTTCGGCTTGCCTTCAGCATCCCACATCCTTGTAACGTTGCCCACGTTGATGGCCTCGGGTCGGCCGCCACAGGGCACAAAGATATCGGCCTTATACCGGAAATGGGCGTCGTTTCTGAAGGCGGTTCCATCCGGAATGATCTCGCCACCTGAACATTATTTCAAAAGTCCCAATCAGCAATACAAATCATGTAGATATAGAGTGGAGTCAGTACTCAACTGGGTAGAACAACATCGTTTGCATCGACCGAGACAAAGTATCCCTCCTTGCTGAACTTGCTCGAATCGAAGTTACTGACCATCTGCCGACCATGGGCAAGACGGACTAATTCACCTCGATCCAATCCTTGAGGATCATGGATCACTCCACTACCGTCGATGATTGTAATGGTCTTATCTTTGGACAGTAAAATTTCACTACAAATTCAGAAAAACAAAAGACGTGGTCAACGCAGTTCTTCGAAATGAAATGAAATGGTTTGTTCGGCGATTTGAGAGATTGAGATAGGCTATTTACTTCGATCCTAGATCGCCATCAGGGCCCTGAATGGCGCAAACCGATAGAAGCATTCAATGAACAGCTCCACAAAAAAGAAATATAAACAATTAACGCACCCCCGTTTGAATTTTGGTGACCTCGGTTTCTTTGAGGCCCAATGAACGGTAGATCCCGACGATGAATTGTCGGACTGACAAACTGGTCATCCCAAACTAGAGGAAACGAGGGATTGAACGTTAGGGAGTTATTTCTTCAAAACCGGCTGCAGTTGGAGGAAATGAATATCTCACGGCGTCATGAGGAATGCCGCCCAGCAGGCCGGCACTCTTGCCGGTCGTGAAACTCTTCCATTGGTCGTAGCCTCTTTCCCGAGCATGCAAAGCAGCCCAGTCCATCATATCCGCAGTTCCCTCGTCAGGGCCGAAGAACAGAGCCTCTGGACGATTGTACAGATCGACGATCGGATCTTTGATCCCGGGCGATTTGCCAGGGATCAAGAGATCCAAGATCCCATCGACATACTTCTCAAAACACGCCCTCGGATTGGACTCCAACTCGGGCAGGATAGTGCCTTTAGCACCCCCTTCCGGGATTGTCGAGTTCTTCAAAGACTGAGTGAATGCAAGGTTGTAGTTCTCGTCAAACTGCTGTCGAAGATTAATCGAATAGTTTTCCTTGTTCCGACTACGGATGATCCGGATTCCACCTCGCGCAACATCTTTGAACCTTAGATGAAACCCTCTGAAGTCCGAACCCACTACCATCACGAGTCCATATGGCGTCATGGGATATTCGGCCTCCGGTAGGAAAGCTGGGTCCAATCTGAAAGAAAGTGCAACCTGCGAGACAAACAAAGTGTCATGTCGCGTCAGGCATGTGATTGTGAATTCAACAGATGTGGAGTGACTTACCTTGGTAGGCGTGTAAAAATTGGTCTTCAAAATATGTTTGTTGAATACCAAAAAGCTTTCTAATACCTGAAGATCGTGCGAATTGGAAGCTGATTTGCGGATATTTGCGTAGAGCTCTTCATCTGTCAAAGGTGTTCCGGTTTGCAGTCTCTGGTATGATAAAGTGGGCCTAAATAAGAAGGATCAGCATCTTTAAAGACTTGTGTTAAGAGTGGGGAGAATATGAAGGACGCCTGGAGCCAACTGACATCAACTGCTGCCTTGATGATGAGGCATTAATATAATGCACCAAGGCAAAATTGACATAGAGTAACCGAATCTAGAGGGTTTGTATTGGGATTAGCAACCAGAATGTGGGGGAGGGGGGAGGGGAAAGTCCAGCAGAATGCTAACAATTGAAGGATAAGCCAAGACGACTTCGGTGATACTCTGACGAGTGAAAGTTTCCTCTCGGAAGCGTCTTTTGATGTCGTTAAGGACTCCGGCCTGCATGGGATCTGACTCGTTCAAGAGACCCTTGAGGGCCAGGTATGAAGGCCCCAGTCGATTGAGGAAGTGTTGGGAAAAGATCGAAGCACAGTATGCATAGGCCGCTTCTTGAACTGCATGGTGGGTCGAGGGCTGGAAGAAGGGATTGTTGGGTAGACAGAAGACTAAGGATGCTTCGCGGATAACTTGGGTGATTGCCGACTCGCTATGACCCACATCAGAGAAAAAAAAAAAGACATCAGTCAGGAGAATAGCTGGAATGTGAAAACCAATCAATCTTCAAAAGTTACTTACATTGGAGGACCGCGAAGGGAATGCAAGTAGATGGAAATAATGGTCATGCCATTACTAAATCGCTCTAATGTAGCGTATTTAGATAAGCAGAAAAGCCATCAGTTATGGCTCTGCCAGAAGCGAACTCTGTCGATGTCGATCAAGACTTACCGACGTATTTTCGGGTACTGTAGAGGCCATAGAAATGATACAGATCACTCATGGCACTAAAGAAATGGTTAGTACTGGCGTGTCTGTAAGCGATCACCACCCTTCGCTCAAGACTGTTGCCCTCGACCTCGTAACATTCGACGACGGGGCCGGTCCGGGCCAAGGCGGCTTGCATCAAGGATTGGTAGATTTCGAGGGTGTTTGGGGAAACCTTGGAGAGGAAGGTCTGGTCAGACACTTTGCGGATGTCCGAGTAATCCGCCGACTTGGCATCCGGTGAGGCGTTCACAAAGTTACACTTTGTCACAAAGTAACATCGTAATTCTGTTCAATAAATAGGCATTTCATGAATAAGTCAGACACGTGCACTCTACATATATAAACTGAGAAGAAAAAAATAGTGCCATGTAAAGAGACTAACGTTGGGCCACGTTAGAGGCTACATTTCCAGCCGATCGATAAGTCTCTAATCTGAACGTGCCGTCCTTCATTGGAATGTCCAAGAACTTTTCATCGATCCTGGTAAAAATATCGAGCGGAGATAAATTTTGACGTGAGAATTTTGGGAAGATTCTATTGGTACAAAGAAATGAACAGTCAATAAAAGTGCCCACCTAGCCTCGAAATTGGTGGATGGGTCAGACACCCCGGGAGTGGAAGAGTGGATGTAAACGGCATTTGTTTCGGTCTCCTTTTCGAGATTGATGTCGAGCTGCTTCTGATGACGAGACCAGGCCAGGATCTTGGCGCCGTACAGGGATGTGACGTGTTCTGCGACAGTCTCGGCACTTTCCATGCGGAAGTATTGATCATCTGTGAGCCATGCCCCAATAGAAACATCCGCGCCCGATCAGTATTGCTGATAATCATTCTTTAGCCGGAATTTCCTGCTGGCGATAGATTGAGAAAATGGTCACATACCGATCCCAAGGTTGTTGTAGCTGGAGATGACAAAGAGAGCGTAAATTGGATCAATACGGGATCACTACATTACAATAGCATCTTGGAAAATCATTACAAAATGCACAAAACAGACTTACAACCAAGCAACCTCATTGTGAACCAAATTCTGGGGCACAAACCCACTCTTGCCGACGATTTCCTCGACGTTCAACGCTTGAGTTTTCTTGCCCTCAAAGACGATATCTTCATAGCCTGCCGTATTTTTGACAACCTAGTTTTTGTTTTTTGTTTTTTTAGTAGAAATTCCAAAAATATTCCAAATTAATCAGAATTCTTGAAGATGAATATACATGTTGACTTGGGCAATAAACAGGAAAATATTCAAGCTAGGATCACAGTGACAGAAAGAAGAAGAAGTGAACGTACATGATGACGATGAGGAGGTTCAGGTGTAGCACTAGGTGTGAATCCTGGCACATGGAGTTGGCCGGCAGTACCCTTGACAGGCTCTGGGGCGAGGAGGTTATCGGACATTCTGAGTTTGTTTGGATAGCTGATGAGGCAGACGGGGAAGTAAAAGGAGGATGGAAGTGTGGTTGAAGTGGAGAGAGGATGACGAAAGGCGCTTTTTGAACTTGTTGGTGGAGCGTGCCGGGGTAAGCGGAGGGGCGGGCTGAACAGTGGTGAAACAGGGATGTGACATCCGAGTGATGTAATACTCCCAAACGTGGCTTACAGCCAAAAGGAACCCCGATTTCGGAGTCAGCTGCCTTCATCCATCATCGTCTGTTGGTGACACACTGAAGCCGGTCAGCAGGCCGACCAGCACCATGCCCATGACTCCAATCGGCTCGCTTGTCAGTGGGTTGAGCCGATCAGCTGACTGCTCTTAACATTCAAACATCTTTGAAACTCGGCACTCCTCTCCTTCTCTTGAGCGGGTACATAGAAAAAAGCCGCCGGTGGTTGGACTGGCCAAAGGCGCATTATGGTTGTTGGATCGATAAAGTAGAAATGAGAAGATCTTTGACACGTAAGAGTAACTGATCATCATCCAATCGCCATTCTGAAGCAACTGCATCTCCATCAGATGACCTTCTCCCGCTTTCTTTTTTTTGAGGAGCTTCCTAATCAATCAGGCCTTTTTAATGCAGGAAGCACCTCCTCATGCGTGATCAGGAGACAGGATCACATCCGTCTGTGTACCCGCTGGAAGTTATGATGATGGTTCAAGTCGAGAAAGCATGGGGAATAAGGAAGAGTGGCATCGCAGTTAAGTTCGGTCCGTGTATGCATTAGATCGTAAAAACTCCTTACATAGAGAGAGAGGGACTGCTCAACGTTTCAGACGATGGTCATTGCACACCCAGCCATGTACCCCGGAATATGGATGTGATACAGTGATCGGGAGGAGCATCACTCAGCAGAGCATGAAGGGACGAATCAGGACCTTGGCAAGGCCCTATATATGTGGGTAATGTAAAATCCGGAATTTTGCCAAAATTCATACATTTTTGGGACCCATTCATACACGTTTCATGCGTATGATCAGAGGATTTTCAATTTCCTCATACATTTTTCATGCTTAACATTTCTGGTAATCCATGCAAAAAAAATTGATTGTACCAAAAAAACCTGTGACAGGGGCTTTTTGACCAAAAAAAAGGAAAAAAAAAAAAATGGGCCGAAGGTGCTGCTGAGGGGGGGGGGGGGGGGAGGAACAAAAAAATTTGGCCCCAGGTGCTGGCACTGGCCAGGGGGGGGGGGGGGGGGGACAAAAAAAAGAAACTTGGGAACTGGGAGAGGCCCTATACAGCTATCTTATTATCAAGACCCCCCTCCCCCTAAGAATTTTGGATCATCTTTTAGAACGATATTGTTGCGGCCAAAAAGACCATTCATACCACTTTTCATGCCTACCATTTTGGTTTTTGGCCCAAAAATTCATACATTCACATTACCCACATATATAGGGGCTTGCCAGGGTCCTACCGAATCCCCCTTCGTCGCGAGGTGGCTCCCTGCCGGACGGCGTCCCCCCTCCCAATAAAGAGGGATGTAAAGCTCGCCCACCATGTTGTGCCTCCTCAATCTACATACCTTCTTCCGGCAAGCGTTGCCAGAAGATTGAGAAGAATTCCTCTGAAAGGGTGTATGTAGTGCATCTCCATCCCAACAAATATTGGGCTTCCCAAAAATTCAAAGCATTTGTCGAGCTCACCTACCTATATATGTATGGTTGTGCCCCCGCCTTCCCATATGCCGTCCCCATCTCCATCGCTTTGAACATTCTTTGTCAACCGTCTGGATCATCCACCACACAACTCTTACATATTAATACTGCTAGGACACTACGATACCGCCATTCAGAGCTCCACCTGTACACCCAAAATAATAACTCATAGACGATCGTTCATCTTTAAAGGTGCGTGCAAATTTACTTCAATCCATGTGACCATAGACCCAGTGATCAAGATCAAGCCCGGCCATCACTCTCCTATTTTCTCCGTTTTCCCAAATAGGCATTGACTTTTTTTCTTCTTTATTGCTTACTTATTGACATCGGCTAGCGTATTGATTACGGATACCCCCAAGAAGATATTCAAGACTTAGCTTACCATGTTGGACCAAAGAATCTTTCACCTAATTCTTGTTTTATCCTTTTCGGGTGAGTTATGAAACCCTCTTCCTAATCCTCAGACTGTCGATATGACTCCATGATCTTAACAGCTGATCCAAATATCCGCTTTGAAAATCTTGGCCTCGCTGCCTTGAACCGCAAATCAGCTTACCTCGTCCAGTGTGAGCTGCCGTGTTATATGACCGGAAAAACCCCGCTTCCTAAGGATGTCATCCCACCCAAAGATGTTACTTGTCTGGATGTAAGTTGAATACAATTTGTCTTGATCGCACCAGTCATACATAAACCGTTTACATAGATTGATCACAAATTTGTTGAACATTCACAGACGAAAATTTTCCTGGACATCCCAGATGTCACCATCGACGGCAAGAAATACGTAGGTCATAAATTGTTCCTCTGACACACCAGCATTTTTTTTTTTTTTTTGTGATTCAATTTATTTACAAACCAAATATTTCATCAACAGTCGGAAATCGACTTTAAGACTCAAGGCAAAGATCTCACCCCGGCAGGGTATGCGTTGGCCACCTTCACCGCGGGCGGTGATAATACCGCAGAGTCTTTGGGCACGGCCAACAAGTTGTATACCGCCGTCAATGCCGCTTTGAGGGATCGGGGGAACAGATCGATCCTCCATCAATTAAAAGTGTGAGTGATCTGGCTTGAAATTCTATACCAGAGCTCTGGCTTACTGAGGCTCATACATTTCGACCTACCTCCAGAGTCGATTTCTTCATCGGCAGTCAAATCGCAGCCACTCAGGGCCCAGAGGGCAAAAAGAAACAGATCCGAAACCTAAACAAGGTCAGCCATTAGATCACAAACAAATTTGAAATCATCCACAAAAGGGAGCACGTTCTTGGTATACTGACTTGGCTTTTTACTACAACGATTCCCAAATACATAGACCATCAAAAATTGCGGCCATTGCACAGCCGAAGAGCGTCAGAAGTTCCAGGACATGCTCACTAAAGCAGAAGCCCTCTAATTCATCATCGTCTGTAACTAGTTCTTTGTAATCCATTCTCACTGGCAAAAATAGAACAGAGCTCCAAATCGCTCGTAACTCGTTGATCGACAATCATGGACGGATGGTAATAATGCAAGGCTCTACATTCAAATGGGATTGGAAATAACGAGCATATTGGTCTCTTTCAAGTGAAATTTACATCTGGAAATGACTTTGTGTTTTCTGCCTGAATCTTTTAATCCCCTGCATTCTAAAATCAATCTTCCAATCTCAAGTCAACAAAAAATAAAATCAACCAAACTGTATATAACAACTTTTTTTTTTTGAGTTCTTGTGATGTGTGATTAATCTTTCACGAACACAATTCACATGGAAAACAAAACCTGTGATGATGAACTTTCTTGCCACAAGTATGCAAGAGCAGTTTTTCCAATTGGATTTAATCTAGTGAATTTTCGACCAAGACGCCCAATGGTGGATCGGGATCGGCATGACACTCCATCGAAGGGAGCCGTAAATAATGTATTGGATAGTTGATCTTGCGATACGCAGACGCTCCGAGCGTTCCCGACATTCCGGATGGTCAGCGCAGAAGATTCTCCACTTCAACAGTGTTCTCAAAGCTTTATTTGTCCGGTCCAGGTCCACCACAGCACTGTTATCAGTTTCTTTCGACTCCGGCAGAGAAGTGCAACCAGAGCTCATCGACGATTGTAATTTGTATAGCCAATTGGTCATCGCGACCTTGATCCCCGTCAGCTGCTGCCCAAAGATGAATGGGAGAGACGCTCGGTTTGGGATGGTCTTCAAGCGCTCGATCAGGTTTCTATCAAGAGTTTGATAGACGCTCGGCGTGCAAATATGAGACTTTCCCCACGCCGGCTACGGGGAATGGATATACACCGGGTTCGACGGGAGTGCAGGCTGGCTCTGCAAATCTGACGACCGTAATTAAGATCAGGAGGCCCGGCACAACAAACTTCTTTGGTTTGTTGGTCAAGGCGCTGCAAGTGCAGATGCAAGATAACAAGCAGGCCGGGCTGCCCTCCGGACTCTCGCTCGAGAAGGCTTGTGTTAGGCTCGGGCTTGGGCAATCCGCGCCGTTCCTCGCCGGTCTCCAAACTTGACATAGTCCCGATTGACGAGGTCGCGTCGCGAGCGCCTAGGGACTTCATTTGAGCACCTCCAGTTTCTAATTAATCCTGCTACTTATGGTATATGCTTCTCCACGAGTTCAATACTTGAAGCTGTCGGTTAACAAGGGTCAATCGATAAGCTCATGAATATGGCCTGCATGCTGATGCTGACTTCTGCCCCTTATACTGACGCTAACCTATCTTAACTGAGGCGCTTTTCGCCCTAGAGGCCGCCTCCGGAGCGGCGGGCAGACATCTCCCGGTGTGAAAATAAGGAGAGGGTTGGCGGACGGCGAACTACTTCGGACTCCGGAGGTCCAAATCTCCTCCCCCCCCCATCCGGCCGTCTGGAACGATAGGATTGTGACAAGCTAGCGCGAGTCCGACGATGGACTTGAGTGAGAGCAAGTCATGGCCCCCGCTCTTGCCACGACTTCTGTCAGCCATGGTCTTTCAAAACCCGCCATGCGTTGGATTTGAATCTCAACGTAAGCGTCTGGGATTTCTAACGAAAAGCTGGGGGAACAATTCATCAGTGTGCTTCTGTGGCCTTATTGTTGGACGACGTGGATGGCTAGCCTTCTTGGAACTGGTTCTCACAATTCTATAAGCTCACAATCGACATCAAGAGAGGAATCAAAGTAGAGCGTAGCACTATAACCTAGCACATGATTTGTACTGATAGATAAACGCCGCCCATAGCAGGGAATCGGGACTTGCGTTAAGTTCGTTCAAACATTAGCTCAACACAAACCCCTCGATTCAGGTATTGCCTGGGTGGCGCGAATTTGGGACGCGGGGTCGCCCCTTCCGTTCGAGAGGCTTTGTAGTGAGACTCGTCCTGACTCGTCCTTACGAATTTTAGTTTGGGACACACAGTTAGACACAGAGCACAAGCAGCAAGCCGCAAAAGCTACAGGTGACCTAAGGGATATATTACGATGAAGAACGAAGAGCAAGTAGCCTGAATAAACGCTTGACCGATGCATCTACATAGACTGTCACCGCACGCCACCCGGGCATCATCTGCCTGAAGCCGGCTGGCAGACACTGACTCCTCCCGCAAGGTTTGTCAAGCGGGGCCAAGAATCGATTCTCTTGACGAGAAGAATCTAAAATCCTCTGATAAGGTCGATATTGCCATGTGTACGGTTGACTGTGACACCAATGTGGAGTTGGTATTAGCTTGAAACAAGCGGAACCCACTGCCTATGGAATCTTATAGAAGTTGTACGCGACATCGTTGTCTGCTTTCAGCGTGGATGAAGGCAGGCAAGTCGTTTCAAAACAAATTATAGCATTGGAGATGAGCATAAAAACTCCCACATCCAGCCTTACGCTCCAACGAAGTTCAACCCTCATTTGCTCTTTCCCTAACCCACTTTTAGGATCACAAGATGCGATTGACAGCATCCAGCGCCCTATGTCTCTCCTTTTTTATCTTTCAACTGGCCGATGTCACACAAGGGATGGAAGCCTTGAGAGCTCTGAGGGCTTCTTCCAGTTCCTCCCGGTCAGCAGAAGCTTCCTCCGAAGCCGCCGCATCATCGCGTGCACTTGAATATTGGATTCCACCCCCAACAAGCTCCCGAGTCAAGGAAGAGCTCGCAAAGTCCCAGGATCGGATCTTCCCAAGTTCCTCCTCAAGGCCAGGTGTGTAATAGTAATTCCGTACCTCTCACACCCAATACATAGCCCCCACATATCGTTCTGTCTTGTTCTCGAACACCTGGTCTTCATTGCCCCACCAAACCAGTAGTACTGACTCAAAACTTCTTTCTCGATGACATGGATATCAAGCAAATCTTCCACGTTAGTCTCCAGATTATTCAACCTGCAGTACCCAGCACAAAATGAGTTGTCGAGAATGCCACTAATTCGTCCGCCTTATCTCTTCATGTCTAGCACTGAAGCCTCAGAAAGCCGTCGAAGATCCGAACAGCCGTCAGTACTGATTGAATCTTCCAAGTGGATGACATGAAGTAACCAATGTTGGGAAAAACGCCTGCTAATGCCTTTTTCGAACTCTTCCCACAATCATCGTTTCCACAACCCTTCCTTATCACAAACTTCATATTGGTCCCTCTTCGCTGCTGCACCCTTACAGTCGTTGAGCACTACGAAAAAGGTAGGGTGAACTCTCTTCAGCTTTCTTGAGCCAGTCAAATCTAATCCCAGTCCAATTTTATTCATGAATCTAAATCTTTACGCCCGGATCAGCCAAATTCAACCCTGGTGCTTTGCCAAGTCACGATCCTCGCAGGGTATTCATCGATGAGATGAAATCAGAGTTTATACCCGAATATAAAGTCCACTTGATACAACGGATGTTCAAAAACATTCTGGAGAATCCCGGTGTCACGGATGACGAAATCAAGCACTGGTTTGAAGTTCTCGCATATGTGATACGAAAAACTAGAGAAGTGCGTGCTGGCTCGGCTGAATCGCACCTGGCGGTATCTGCTTTGTATGGCCTGAACAGCCTCAGGATGAGGCTTCCAGAACGCCAGGCTCTTCTCACTCATATCGATGCGCTGAGTGTTCCTTTAAGTAGGGACATCCAACAATTGCCACAAGATGGCATTTTACAGCTCAGATGGGAACGCGGTTCGTTTTATGTACCCTTGAATGCCTCTTCATGTCATATTCGCACTCATGATAGATAGATATTTACCTCTTCCATTGAAATTAGAACTCGTCTATCCGTCCCTCGGATTCGGTCCAGAGCTCGGTTAGTGGCATAAGTTAACTTCGCTTCAACACTCACCCACAACTGACTCGATTAATTTTCACTTTGCTCGCACCATCAATCGCGCGACAGCAAACCGCGAAACCTTTGAGAAGATCTTCCGAAATGACCGCCTGATCTCTAGCGCAGTCTCCACAAGCGTCAAGCGTAGTGACAAGCCCCTTGAGACCCTCGCTGACGAGTTCCGCTCCTCCTCGGCTCATAAGAGGGTTGCAATCTTGGCTGTCTTTTATCATCAGCTCGTTGACTCCCGAAAAGTTAAACAGGTAAAATCTCTGTTTGAACAAATTGAACGCACTCGTAATCTCCTGCCTCATGAACGAGCACTCATCGACTTCATAAGAAGAAAGGTTAAACTCCCATTGCCAACGCAATCATAATTTCAACTGTTGGTCCGATTGGCACCACACCCCGCAAACCTTAATACACACTTCAATCCCTCCAAAATCAGTATCACTTTTGTAGTCAATGAATATCTTATCACAATCCTTTTCACCTACATACCCTTTCGAACCTGTCAATTAGAAACAAACTTTGCACATAAACATTCGGATGAAATGTCCTGTTTTTCAAGAGATCAGTCGTAGCTGTTAAATCGAGATATAGCGTCCGGAAAATGAAACTCTTTCTTTTTCCCAACCTGGATCACTGGAATTGGGAGATTCGAGTTCCAACTCCCCTGGTTTCATTTTGGCTGAGGTTGAAGTTTGATTCGGAATTGCCGGATCTAAGACTGGAGGGCCTTCTTTGTGTGAGAATGAGAAAAAAAAAGCATACCCTATACAATGTACAAAGTGAGAATGGATAAATGAGATGATTACAAATGAATCAAGGAACTAGTATGTATTCCGCCCCCAAAAGATGCTAGAGCCGTTCCTGCTAAATCGCCCTTTTCTTGGGGCACCTTTTCCCCATAGAGCTAGATCTGCGCCTACCCGACTAGCCTTCTTGATCGTCCTTGATGTGATGGTGGCTATGAATTGGTCACTCCGCTGATACACACTTAAATTAATTGTGAGAGCGATGAACTTGATATTCAGGCCGAAATCCACTCAGCCACAGTCACTGCAGTTCTCTCCAAACAAGTCGCACCGAGGTGCTTTGACCAGTCACTCAGGCCGTTGAAAATAACAATAAAATCAAGACAGAGCAGTGAAAAGCGGCCACAACTCCACACAAAAATCCATCTTCTTTCTCTACTGAGTGTCAAAACATGCGATTGAAGACACCCAACACCCTTATTCATATGCTTTTTTGTTTTACAATTGATTTTCACTTCACGATCATGGCTCAAAGGTCTTAAACTTAAGGGTATTGGCGCCTCCGGATCAGCCCAAAAACAAGTCACATCCGCTTCTGAGGCCACAGGAGCAGCCTCACAATCTGCTACACTGGTTAAAGATGATGGATATTGGTTTCCGTTGCCAGAGAAGGATTCTATGAATAGTCTCAAAGGGTATAAGGAATCTATTGGCACTGCTCCGATGAAAAATCCCTCATCAAATCAAATGCCATGTGAGTGTTTACAATGCTCTTTAAAATCTTGACTGCCCAACTATTGAACCCTCCCAAGCATTGTGCTGAAAAGCCACATCGGACACATTTCTTTTTAGTTTTGAGAGCCAACAACCCTGAACCCGCTCAAGGTCAGTTTTCGAAGTTATATTGCGTGATGCTTCAGTTTATAAGCATTGTGACTTCAACTGATTTCAATCGGGGCCCACAATATGTTTTGGGGTTCATCAGATACGGAGCAGTGTTTGTACCGAATCTTTGCATGTACCCTACTCTAGCGACCAAGTTTAACAAAACATTTTCTGAATCTATTTTCTGAATTTCCTTTCCCTCCGCCTCTTTTCACTTCCTCGACATAATCTTCATTTATGCCCAATTATTCCTGTTGGATCTACTCTTCCTACAGTGACTAACTATTATAGATCAGGTAATTGTGCTGCTTCAAGTTCAACCTTGCCAGGATTGCTAGCCTGATTACAACTTCACTTTGCGCTTGGCGTTGATTGTTTACATACGTTTGATTCAGTCTCACTTGAGCCATCTTCCTGGGAATCCACAGATCCACGCAAGGCATTTCTCGAGGGTATGGGCAAAATAGCCATCCAAGATCAATACCACACTTCCTTGATCCAACTGGTTTTCAAACGTATTTGGGAGAAGCCCGATATGACGGAGGGAGAGGTCAAGCAATGGCTCGAAGTTTTGGCATATTATTTGGAGAAAGATATAACAACAAGGGATCCAACTGCGAAGCAAATCCCAGTGTCTGTCTTGTATGGCCTTCATAGCCTTCAATTGAAGTATCACCAGAATGGCCAGCTTCTTCCTCACATCATGGCCACATCAGCCGTTGTGCAAGGATACCTTGATAAGATCAAGCCAACAGTTAACATTAAAGATCTTGAGAATGTACCATGGCAGAAAGGTTTGTCATATATACCCATTGGAATCCTTTCTTGGCATGTCATGATACTCATCAATCCTCTTGCTTGAATTGATCTTATTTCATCATTAGAGATGCTATTTCCATCACAAGGATTTAGCAGGCAACTAGGTTTGTTTGATTTTTTTTTTTGATCCAATGGGACTCATCTGTGTCCCCTCATTAATGATCCTTGAACCCACAGGTGATATGAAAAGTTACCAGAAACTGATTCCAAATGACCAAGATTTTAAGAATGCAATGGATCCAAATGTCAGAACCAGTTTACAGGGCTTAACAGCTTTGAAGGAAAAACTCTCTTCATTTTCAGCACACAAGAGGGTCTTAGTTCTAGCAACATTTTTTCAAGTGCTCAAGGCAAATCCACACGATGCAATGGCTGCAAATCTGTTAAGAGAAATTCATCAATCAAGTCCCTTCCAACATGAAAAGGAACTGATCACTTTTATATTACAACATAAGCCTAACAAAAGCCAGTCAAGGATACCAAGTACCTCCTCCTCCTCCTACCAAAGAATCACATAAATCCAAAAATTATCAGAGTGATCTCTTCTTGATCAGTTCCAATAAGATTTCTCTTTAGAATATCTCATGCAATTCATCTGGCCTGGAATATTTTTTTAATTCAATTTATTCATTTATTCATTATCATACTTGGAGACTTAGTTCAAGTGTAATTAATGTATCTTCCCATGCACAGTGAAGCAAACGTGGTTCAATCAATTTTCATTTATTTATATTCAAAATTTGATTAAAGATTCACAACAATAAAAAAGATTGCAGCTTGTATTTTTAATTCTTGTGAGAAATGAAAACCACATTTTTTTGTTTGGGAAACCAAGAGACTGGATGACTTCCTGTCGTGGTTGACAACCCTCCCAGAATTTAATTTACACCCCCTAGATCTTAATTTTTGGTATAAAAAATTGTTTTTTCACAAGCCTTGTGAAGATAGCTCTCATGTGAGCTGGTTAGAATTATGATTGGGGTGTTAATTTAGAACTGGGGAGGGCTTAAAAAGCACTCTAAATGCCAATGGGAAGTCCTCCACTGTAGGGGGCACTGTGATCAAATTTCAAGACCAGGAATGAGGAAGAGCAACCAGAAAAATGAATCTCAAGAGCACCTGTGGCTGCAAAATTCTTCCATCCCAAATGGAGGAAACCCGTGTACACATCTTCCACTTAGAATGGAAAATGGCTGAGTTGAGCTCGCCCAAATTTTTCAGCTCATCCAGCTCAGTCAGCTCTTGGACCCAGCTCATCCAGCTCAGTCAGCTCAAGTCAGCTCCCAGACCCAGCTCAGTCAGCTCTCGCACCCAGCTCAGTCAGCTCTGAGACCCAGCTCATCCAGCTCATCCAGCTCATGAGGTCCACTAAAAATGCAAACAACACTCAATCCTCAGTCCAGTCTGCGTAGCCTAGTCAGCAAAGCCTGCCCTCCACCTCCCTTGAGGTTGTGGGTTCAAGACCCACCAAAGGCAGCTCCAATTTAGGGGTTAGGGGTCAGGTTAGGGGTCAGGTTAGGGGTTAGGTTACAGGGGTAGGTTAGGGGTTAGGTTTAGGGGTTAGGTTTAGGGGTTAGGTTTAGGGGTTAGCTTTAGGGGTTAGGTTTAGGGGTTAGGTTTTAGGGGTTAGGTTTTAGGGGTTAGGGGTTAGGTTTAGGGGTTAGGTTTTAGGGGTTAGGCTTTAGGGGTTAGGTAGGGGTTAGGGGTTAGGGGTTAGGGGTTAGGGTTAGGGTTAGGGGTTAGGGTTAGGGAGCAGGATTTCAGAGCTGGATGAGCTGCATGAGCTGGATTTTCAGAGCTGAATGAGCTGGATCCCAGAGCTGGATGAGCTGGATGAGCTGGGTCCAAGAGCTGACTGAGCTGGGTCTGGGAGCTGACTTGAGCTGACTGAGCTGGATGAGCTGGGTCCAAGAGCTGACTGAGCTGGATGAGCTGAAAAATTTGGGCGAGCTCAACTCAGCCATTTTCCATTCTAAGTGGAAGATGTGTACACAGGTTTCCTCCATTTGGGATGGAAGAATTTTGCAGCCAAACCTCCTCAAGAGATCAAAAAGAAAGGTTGAGAAACCCTCAAAAGAGTTTTAGCTGCTAGCTTGCGTGGCAGAAAAGCGCACACATTACAAGAGGCTGTATCCTTTAGAGACCTCAGGGAATGTTTTACAGAAGAACAGATGAGTTTCATTTCTTTGTCTATGAATCCTGTCTATCGCTATTACAACATGGAGGGATAAGTAGAAAAAACAAGTGACAGGTGAGAGGAGGGAAAGAATTGAGAAAAGGACATTAAATTCTAACACACTGTTTTCTGATGCAGGTGTAAGATGTTGTTTGCTGATACATGATTGAATTTGGCCTGTCACACACCTAAATTTTAACACATTTGATTGCTGATTATGTTTACTGATATTGGATGACTTCCCGTCAACATCTGCGGGTCTCCCAGAGCCAGTTTAGAGCCTCAAAATTCAAATTTCTCTGTAAGAATTAAGAGATTTTGGGTCTAGATTGACTTCTGTGAGGGTCCCAGACCCGACGGGAAGTCCTCCATTGGAGAACTTCCTGTCACCTAAATTGCTTGATCCAGAAGGGGGTCCTAAACCCTATTGGCTGTTGAGAACTGGATCTTGATTGATTTTCACCAGCTAATAATTTTTGTTCCTTCTAAATTTACATATTTAGACAACAGGAAGTTTGCCCATTGGCCTTTTCTGAAGCCCCCCCCTCTCATGGATTTTGAATTGGAAATGATCTTCATCAACTGAATTAAGACAACTTTATAAATGCATAATCAATCTTACTCCCTCCTTCTTTGAACATGCATAGCCTGGCAGGTAGTGAAAAGGACCAAAGGTGGCTCAAATTGCCCAAAAGTAGAAATGTTTTCATGCTGCAATTTGCAAAAGTCTAGCTGGTAGATTGAATCAGGTGATTTGACCACTCCACAAAGAGATACACACGGTCAGCGCTGAAGAAGAGCCACCAGGGTGTTAGAAAAGGACCCAGGAAAGCCCCTATAGAACACAGTAACCAAAATGTATGAATTTTTGGTCAAAAACCAAAAAAGGTACTCACCCCAAATGTGTGAATTGCTGTTTTTGCCCAGAAAGGTACTCACCTCAAATGTATGGAGTTTTCACCAAAGAAGGGGAGGTAGTAAACAAAGGTGTATGAAAGTCACAAAATTTGTGGCCACAA